TCCCCAGAGCGTGCCGATTCACTCTTGTTCAGTGAGTAACGAGGTCAGCTTCACTCCTTCATTCTGCTCTTTATCTTAATGCTGATTCCATTGTTTCACAAACTCATCTAAAAATGCAGTGTGCTTTAAAGTGCACACTCTTTAGGTAAACTGGTTGTAAATCATTGTAAAACTCTGTCATCATTTACTCATCTGTTGTTTCAAATATAAGCGTGCGGTAAGCATACAGTGAGCAGTATGGACAAAAACCAACAGACCGTCCAGAGGTGCTCTCCATTCCTGTCTAGTGTACTGAAGTCAGATGTGCTTTGTGTGAGAAACATTTCATTTGTTATTTGGTGAACTTCTTCCCCTCCCTCGTGAAAAATAAGTACTTTAGCATACTTTAAAATAGAGTACTTATTACAGAAAATAATATACTTAAGTGTGAACTGAATGCATTTATGTATTTTTCGGACACTTAATTGCATGCTATTTACAACTAAATTAAAATGTATTATAGTTTACATTTCTTTTAAATGCAGTTAGCTAAACTTAAGAGTGCTTTATTGACCAACATTAGCAGGACTTAATTACAACTTTATATGTAATTTCATAATTATTCTTTGAAATATGGTCAAAGTGTACCGACAAATGTACTGACAAGCATTTATGGTAAACATACTTTAATTGCATTTCTATTGAAACTTGTATGTCATATATTTAAATAGATTTGTAATTACACATTTGTAATGATGAAGTAACTGAAACATTGTCAAGAAAGTGCATGTCTTTCTTAAAGTACACTTAAGTTAAATTTTATTTCATCAATATTATATTATCTTCAAGTACAGTTTTTTTGAGGTACACTACAATTTTTTAAGCACAATTTAGTGCACTTATTTTTCACAAGAGCTTTTCTGTTGCTTTGAAAGTTCTGTGATATGCAGAATATACAGTAGTATATAATACATGCACCGTGTTATGTACAACTGAACCGCAGTGCTATGCACCATATTTTAATGTTTTTTTTCCTGCGTAATATCAAGGAAAGCTATAAATAGAGCCATAAACAGTGAACACGACTTATGTGCTCTTTAATGTTCACAGCTTCCTCAGAGTCTAATAATAGCAGGCTCTTTTATGAATCCATATTTGTGTCGCACACGCAGTGATTTATTTTCTTTTCACTGTGGTTTTTATCACTGCAGCATGCTTGAGCCGTTTGCTGACACCTGCTAATGACTGTGTTTATGATTCGCAGTCTAAACCGCATGGAACACTAACATATTTATATCTCCCCATGCTGTCTTCCTGTTCCTTTTAATAAAGCGTTAATGCCTTGATCACATGATGACAGGCGTGCTCACGTGCTCTGAGCTCAGGGTTTGCTGAAGTGCATGCATGCCCAGCTCAGTGGCTGCGGTCGGTGGCGATCACAGGAGATGTCGGCGCGTGATGATGAAAGCAATGCTGCACGGGTGGGACGGATGCTCCAGAGATCCCCTCCACCCACACACACACACACACACACACACACACTCACTAACACACACACACACACACACACACACTCAATTAAGATGGAATGTATAATGAGTCTATTTTTAGCACACTGTGCTATTTGCAACCTGTGCGTTTTTCCCAGCGGCCGCCTTCCCCTCCTCGTGTCACACGCTGCTTCCTTCTCTTGCTCTCTCTGAAACACAGACTCTCGAGTTCTCAGTCTCTGGGCCGCTCTGGTTTCGTGTTCCCACGGAAGCAGCCACCATTTTATTTCTCGCTGCTTTAGCTCTGTGTCGACTTTGATGATCATTTTGGTGTCAGCCCTTGTCCGCTGAAGAATGTGTTTTCCTCCGACCGCAGGAGCTGCTGGCATCAAAGCTATGCAGAAAATCTCATGGTCAAATATAATACAGAATATGAAGAAATGTTGTTGTATTTACAGTATGTATAGCAACGCTGCTGATATTTTGCAGTATGATGCTCTTTTCCAGCAAGCTAAACTGCAAAAAGTGGGGTTTAGTACGATTTTTAAGAAAGAAATTAATACTTTTATTCATCAAGGACACATTAAATTGATTAAAAGTGACAGTAAAGACATTTATAATGTAACAAAAGATTCAATTTCAAACGCTGTTCTTTTTAAACTTTATATTCATTAAATTATCCTTAAAAAAGTATCATGGCTTACACATAAATATTGGACATTGCTAATAATCAGAAATGTTTTTTGAGCAGCAAATCAGCATATTAGAATGATTTCTGAAGATCATGGGACACTGAACTTTTGAATGGTAGTGTATATTTTTGAGTAATAGTGTAACATGACAAAACTCAATGTCCTCCTTCTCATATCAGTATCATATCATTGTGAAGTACTTCCCTTTTGTTAATCTGTTTCTATACACGTGTGATTAAAATTCAATTCACTTTTTTACATATTTTTATTGGCACAATAGAAACTGCTTCTGTCATTCAGCTTGTATTGTAGCTAACTAGTTCTTTGAACAGGAAGCTTTATCATAGTCTACCTATTTCATCAGCTTGTAGCTTAGCAAACTTCAGTTTCAGGACACTGATATTGTTGTGTTGGTGTGCATGAGGACTGATACAGCAGTGTGATCTTCAGAAGAGCTGCGCTCAATAGCAAGCCGTAATGGCTGAACAGTGCTGATGGAAACGCAAGCGGTCACAGCTGCTGGTGAATGAGGTCCAGACTTCTGTCTCAGAATCAGGATTCAGAATCAGCACAGCACAGCTGGATCCACAACCCGGCTGAACGAACACACGTGCAAACCCTGTTCATCAAGGACCCTGGAAAACAAGGCTTGGCCCGACCGCGTTTGTCCAGCTGCCGCTGCCAGCTCTGAGCCCGAGCTCCTGAACGCACTCCAAGAGTATGGAGATCCGCCGCACTACAGGCCATGCCTTGTGTTTGACTGTAGCGCAGAGCGATCGCTCAGCCGCTGGACTGTGAGCCTCCGTGACAGCGCTCTGCATCAGTGCCAGCTGATCACTCAAGCTTTCTGAAGATCCTGTTTCCAGAACTTCACATGCCCCACGTCAGTGTTTGTGACTAGATTATCCACAGGATCCACAGTATCCCTTGGCCTTTGATTTGTTTCCTCACAAAATGGCTTTGATAATATTTATCAAAGTTTTCTACAGTATGTCTTTATAATATCATAGTGCCTCTGGTTGACTGTGTTCTGCTTAATTCCACTGTGGGTAAAAGCATCTGAACTCAAACATGTTATGAAGGAAGTAGAGTTGTTAAATTCCCCATGATCCCCATGCCTATAGTATCCCTAGTTTGGGGATGGTTTGATGTTTTTGGAAGAAATCTGATCATCTTCTGATCATCAAGGCTGCATTTATTTGCAAAAATACAGTAAAAACAAATATTTTTTTTTTTTACAATTTAAAATAACTGTTTTCAGTGTGAATATATTATAACATGTAACTTATTTACATTTTTACTTAATATATCTTAGGATATCAAACATGTTTGATATTTTGAGCCGCTTTTAGAACACATTGTTTTCATTTGTCACACGTCTCCTAGAAACAAGGAGCACGTTTCTGCGTGAGTTTGTTGTAATCAGGACAACTTTAAAGTCTGGTAGTGTGTGATCCTCAGTCGTTTAGTGTGTGATGTGGCCAGTCTTTCCTCTGTGACTGTTTACAAAGTCAGTAAGTGCATCATGTCGAGTGTTTTAAAGTCTCTTCAAGTCGTGTACAAGTCGTGTAGTGTTTTCCTGCCTTAAGAAATGCATTTTGTCAGAGTTAGAAGAACGGAAACCAGCCTAATTATACAGGACTTCCTTCATATCAGTTGAGTAGCTGTTGTGTTCTGCAGGCCTGTATCTCTGTAGCTGCAGTGCTGCTCTGAGCGTTAGTGCAGAAGGGCTTTATGTAAGCGTGTAGATCAGCCAGCGCTGTGAGTCAGAGAGTAATTGGAGTCTGTGGGTGACATGAGGGCCCAATCTTACGCAGAGAGATGGACTGCTCATTTTCCATTCGTGGGCACGGGATGTAAAGCCTTTTTCTGCTGCGGCGAAGAGAGACGTTCCGTTGCTGAACTGAAGCTGGGGACTGAGATGCTCACGGAGCTGGAGAGTAGAGCCATCCGTTAGCATCACGCTCATCTCAATGGCAGCTGGTCAGGTGGAGCAGGACCGTCTGGAAATACACAAGCTTCATGCTGCTGGCTTTGCTAATCGGCACTCACTTCCACACTAAATAATCGTACTTTGGACCAACTTTAAAAAATGCTATAATTTGTTACAGACTATCTTATTATCCATTTATTTCTTTATTTATTATTTTTCCCCAAAATATATTTATAGTTCAAACCTTTTTGATTTTATTTAATTTTAATTTTATTTAATATTAATAAAATTAAAAATATTTCTTATGGCAAAGACAAAAGATTCATACACATAAAAAAATATATTGTTTGTTATAAAGACTATGTACAATACTTAATATATTTAGTTCAATATAATCATTTTAAGGCTTTTTTTGTTAGTCAGTATTTAATTTATTCTATTTATTTCTTATTTCTTTTCAAAAGACCTTAATGTTTATTATGATGTCTTTTAAAATGTACTTTTTTTAAAATAAATAAATTAAACCTTGATTTTCGATTTGCACAATATAAAATGCACTTTACATGAATGACAGTCATTTCACTTTTTTGAGCCAGTCACATAATATTGTATATTATATTATATTTAGTAAGTCTGCTGTTCTACACTTTTAACTGTGTATTATATAACAACATTTTAGCAATATACGTGTTTCTTGGGAAAATTTGATTTCACCACACTTTGGGGGGCAAACAGCCCAAATCTGACTGACTGCCTGAGCCAACAGTAAAAATGCCCAGTTGCCATGGTTACAAGTGACCTTTTGACCGCATTCCCCATTGAAAACCATGAACGTATCAATCTGTCTGCATGTGAAGCTACTCTTCTATGACTTGTAAGGTTTGTCTTTGTTGTGTTTCCCCACAGGTTTGGATGGAGTTGCCACAGATCTAGTTAAAAGAAAAGAAGTCTTCGGGCAAAATCTTATACCTCCAAAAAAGCCAAAAACTTTTTTACAGTTAGTGTGGGAAGCATTACAAGATGTGACCCTCATTATCCTGGAGATTGCAGCGCTGATCTCTCTGGGACTGTCCTTTTATCAGCCGCCTGGAGAGCGCAGCGAGTGTGAGTATCTGTCTGTCATTACACCCTTCTCTTCGGGTTTGATGAGGTGGCTTTCAGCTTTATGTGCCTGACTTCCCTTTGAAGTGAGCTGTTATTTCCGGTTTTACAACGAATGATTTGCAAAAATAGTTTTTTGCACTTCTTATTAATTTATGAATGTAATCAAGGGTATTCATTGTATAGGCAAAAAAATCTATAAACATCCTTTGAAATGTCTTCTTTCATGTTCCACAAAGCAAAACAAAGTCATACAGCTTTGAACCAACATGAGGTTGAGTAAATTAGGACAGAATTTGAATGTAGGTTTGGTTAACTTTAATGTTAAGGTTAGTTAATATTAACCAATAGTTCAGCTGGTTTAAGCTGCTTGTGTACTGTAGTTAATGCAGCCTTTCTAAAGTTTTGCCAAGAAGTAATGCAGAAATATAATGCTTTGAAGGTGATTTGTGTATATTTTTTTCACTGTTAAAATAGTTTCTCATCTGCAGATGTGGACATATAAAACACTGGCATATACTTTTATCAGCACACAGAGATTCGTTTGAGCCAGAGGTCGTATGCTGCAGAAGTTTGGTGTAACAATGCTGTTATACTGTATATTCACAGTCGCCCCAGAATGTATGCCTTCAGCTATGTTTTTATTGTGTTACATACAAACCAGTCAAATGGTTTGCCCTCAAATACCGCACAAGCTCTTCTCAGATCTAACTTCACTCTGAGCCATTTTTACAGTGACTTCTAACTAACAGATGTCAAGGTGGTTTTTAATGGATGTCAATTTCCAAACATTCCCTCTGGGCACAAAATCTGGCGCTCATTGCATCTTATTCTGGCCAAGTTCCGAGAAAAGCATTTGACTGACATGTAGAGCGACCAACCACTGTTAGTTTAGTTTTGATATGCTGTTTACAGACAGAGTTACTTGAAATACACGCTACTACGATATCAGAGCAACTATCAACACTAACCACAAATAATCACTGATTTTCTTCCTTTTCAACACTACAGCTTTTTTTGTACATCTTGCTTTACAATAAATGACAGCTTTTTGTGTAATAAATACAATAAAAAAGGTACTCTAAAAATGGTACCATCTAATTTAACTGAATCCATAACTGAATCCACCTAAATACTTTGATTTCTACCAACAAAACTAATTTTATACATTAAAGGGGTCATATGATGCGATTTCAATTTTTCCTTTCTCTTTGGAGTGTTACAAGCTCTTGGTGCATAAAGAAGATCCCTGAAGTTGCAAAGACTAAAGTCTCAAATCCAAAGAGATATTCTTTATCAAAGTTAAGAGTCAGCCACGCCTACCTAAAACGCCTCGTTCTAACACGCCCCCACATGTCTACCTCACTATGTGGGAAGATTTGCATAACGCCGCCCAAATGTTCACGCAGCTGATCCGTGCTGGTCGCTGAGGAAATACATCAAATTAGTGCTACTCAGCTCACGCCGGCCCGCCGCCGGCTGTTCTGACTCACAGTCTGTAAGGACGTTTTCATTTAAAGGATTTGCCACTGATGATTCAAACGCGAGTTTTGGGCAGTGTGGAGTAGCACTTGTTGTTTTTTAAATCAGGTAGAAATATCTCTTTAAGGTAACTGTTGCAAGTTACCACTGTTTACAGTTTACTATTTTAGGTCACTGTGTGTTTATAATATATAAGTTATATATAATATCTAAACCTGTTTTCTTTACTGGACGTCTGATGGCTGAACAGCACAATCTCCTTCAACAGTGGTCAGCAGCTCTTGTCCGCGAGCATGACTGTGCATTCAGAGTGAGGGAATCCAGTGAAAGAACGCTTTCCAGGCCTCTAGAGTTAATGAAGTGTGCGCTGGAAGAATAACCTTTAGGTGAAGGCCATACATCAACCTGCCGGGCCATAAAATGTGCAATGAGCACAAAAACATTAAAGCAGCATAAAGAAGCAAACAGAATGCTGAGCAAGTGTTATCAATCACGATGATGCTCAAGGATTCAATTACTCCAGGAATGGAAAATAATCTTTTATTCCAGTGCATTCAGTGTGATGGAGCAGTCTAGATCTGAGCAAGAATAGCTCATGAACTCCTGAAACGCTGCTGAATGATTTTCATGTTCATGTAGCCAGTTCATGTACAGTCCAGCTGCTGTTAAAAACAATGCTGCATTACCTGTTACTAACAATGCCAAGCTAACTACAAAGGGGGCAAACTGATATTATTTATCTGATATTATGTTCAGATTATATGATTATGGGAATCTGGCATAATATCATCAAACCTATAGGAACAGTCCATCCAAAAATGCAAAGTTACTGAAAAAGTTCTCATCCTCAGACAATCCCAGATGTAGATGAGTTTGCTCTGTCATCAGATTAGTAGAAATGTAGCATTGCATCAGTGTCTCAGCAATGGATGCTCTGCAGTGAATGGGTGCCGTTAGGAGATGGACTTTTATGAAGCGTTATTATGAATTTATTATGAATTGTGGACTCATCCGGAAGTGACGGTTTGATGTTAAAAATGTATTAATGCTGGATTTGTTTCAGCTTTTGTCTTCTCCAGATGTTAACTGATGAACTGGGGTGGTGTGGATTATTGTGATGTTTTTATCAGCTCTCATTCTGACGGCACCCATTCACTGCAGAGCATCCATTGCTGAGACACTGATGCAATGCTACATTTCTACAAACCTGATGAAGAAACTAGCTCATCTACATTGCCAACACAGCTCTCATTCAGCAGTGTTTCAGGAGTTTTTGGATGGACTGTTCCTATAGGTTTGATGATATTATGCCAGATTCACATCAACATATAATCAGCAATATGACAATAGCTGTGCTGTTTTTAAAGTGAAGCAGCTTTTCCAGTAAGGACCTAGTTTGTCCAATAAGTTTAACAATGGAGTGCTAATTTGTTGTGTTTCATGTAATATTGAATCTTGCAAGCTGAAGTAATAATCAAACACGCTCTGAAATTATCCTTCCTCTCATATATACAGTAGTGCTGGAGTGGACAATTCATTCCAGTCAGTTGGTTTGTTCGGACAGTTCATATGAATGAAGTTTGCATTTTAGGTCTTCTTTATTTATTAGAACATTTATTGAAATGCTGCTGATGTTTTGGACTAGTTCATGAACCAAAAAAGTTCTACTTAAAAGGCAATTTATATTGTAGTGTTTTATATGTAATGAAATGGTTCCCTTAAGAAATGTAATGTAGTTAACTACATTCTGAAGCTTAATTACTTTTTAAGTAGCTTGTAGTTTCCCTCACATGGTTCATCATAAACATTAATATGCAAATGTATACGTTAATATGCTTGATACACCTGCAGTGGTCGTTCAATGATCACTAACAGTGCAGCGGTAGAGAAAAGACTCAGCAGATGATGCATCCACACAAACATGAGCTCCATGGCATCCACCCAGCCATTGACTCTGAGGTTTGTGACAGTTCTTCTGGTTTTAATGGAGAACGGCGCTGTGCTGCTGCTCCGTGTGTCCAGACATCGCTGCCGTTCAGATTGAATTATGCCCGCACAGATCTTCAACCTATTGTACAGCTTCCACATGCAAGATAAGCACAGGCACCGTACAGATCAATACAGGCAAAATCAGACTTTCTAGCCGAAGCTATGGGGAGGAGAGCTGACAGCAGCACATTACATTTCAAGAAGGATTTGTATCTTAAAATACTTCATGAAGGTCATTTATTCACATGCTGCATTATTCACTCACCCTCAAACATGCATGCTGAAGTTTTTCATGCACTTCACAACTGGAAAAAAATGTACAATGAAAGTAGTCTGTAAGAATTTTTTGTAAAAAAAAATAAATCTTTAAAAATGTCTATTGTTATGTTCCATGAACAAGAGGGTGTGTACAAAGTTTTTTTTTTTTTTTTGCAAATCTATATTATATGAACTATTTTTACTGACAGCATTTATGAAAATGTTTTTTTAACCTAAGACAATATTTTTACACTTGTCTCCTTATTGTAAAATAATAATTACAATACGACTCTTACAGTTGGAATAAACTGATGTTAAAATACACACACTTTTAAAAGTACTTCCACTAAACTTTATAGGTGGTTAGTGCAATAGAACTGCTTACACTGTTGACATTTTTCTTTCAAAGTTGTTAATAAAATAAAGATGATCACAGTACAATTTTCAAGAAAACACTATTTTGGCTTTACAAATTTCATGTTTAATTCAGCGTGCTACTTGACATTTCTTTGTAAATAATTGTGAAATTTACTAGCAATTTCTGAGCAAAATTAGTTTAAAACCAATTTGTTTCACTGTACTAACCTTGTCTGTGAGAGACGATTATATCTAATCCATAATTCATGGTAAACGCGGTAACTTTACTTAGAGTCGTTAGTGACTATAATTTAATCTGTCTAGAACAGCAGTCCCACCGCAAAAAAAAAAAAAAAAAAAAATATATATTTGTAAATAAATACATTATTTTTCTTTCTTTCTTTCAAAAAGGAAACAGTCCAAATAATTTTATGTGGTGATCATCATCATTATACCACGGAACCTGTCATATGGGCTCAGAAGCAGGTCAGAAAGGTGCATCTGTGTAACTTTGACAGATTTCTGATGAAATAAGCGCTAATTGAGCCCGTGGCTCCTGCAGATTGATGAGTTTGTGGTGAAGTCTGAGGAGCGTGTAGCAGCGCTGGCTGTTATCTAAGGGCCTCTCAGCACCGTGGACAGCTCCACACTCACTGCACACAGTCAAGCGCTTTGCTAACGAAGAGATCTGCACAGCCCTGTCCCTGCACCACAACCATCAAACCGCCATCAGGAGATTCCATACTGCAGAGGCTAAAAATAGACCTCTGAAACCCACGCACACTGGAGTTTAGCACTATTCATTAGTGGGCGGGAGCAGATTTAAAGGGACAGTTCACCGAATACATTTAAATCAAACTTTCAATAATTACACCCCATCTTGCTGTTCCAAAACCATTCGATTTTTTAATCAAGATATTTATGGATTTAAACTGACATAACTGGCCACTTTTATGGATGGTAGTTACTAGTTGAGCTAATGGTAGTT